TTCGATATGTTCTTGTTTGAAGTCCACATTGTGAGATATTGAAATAGCTATTCCTGTTTGTTCCATGAGTCTCTTTGAATACCCTTTTCCATATTTTTATCCTGTGTAACTATACTAGTTGGGGAGGTGTGTTTTTTGGAAACAGTAAAATTTTTCTAATCTACTTTGTTAGCCCATGCCTTTTTATTTTAGAATTGAGACTGCTATGTTGAGAGTTAGCAATGGGCAGTACTTTTTATCAATTCTTGTTATTTTGTTGTGGTGATATTGTTTTGTGGTTCTTAGTACTTTTTAAGACTTCAAGCTTAACTTTCTGGAATTGCTTATTACTTGTGTACTCTTAACTGTAAATAGCCTTCTTTTTAGATTGCATTTTTTTCTTTTAGTAATTTCTGCAGAACTGGACTGGATGACAGAAATTGAACAAATTACATAATGAGATGTTTTTCTTTCTCCTTAGATAATAACTAATAGTTTCTCTGGGTATACTAGTCTAGGCTGGCATTTATCATCTTTCAAAGCTTGTAGATCACCCATCCATGCCTTCCTGGCTTTCAGAGATGTCATTAAAATGTGAGGTGTTAGTGAATTATCATTCAACTCTTTAAAAATGAAATTAATTAGTAGATGGATGTAACTAGAAAAAAATCACACTGAGTGAAGTAACCCAAACCATAAGAGTTAAATATTGTGTGTTTTCTTTTATATGTGGATATTGGCTTTTAAACCTTCAACAGTTAGATTTAAATCCATGTAACCACAGAGGTTAGGTATTAGCTATTACTGGGTTGATTAAGTGATCTGGATGAGGGTAGAGTCTTCCACAGAAGGGAAAATAAAATATACAGCCGTGAGAGACAAAAAGAAAACTTTAATTGGAGAATTAAATAAGCAGAAGATGGAAAAGAAGGCTAAGGAGGGAATATGATGAGGAATAACTAACATTAAAGGACTTTTGAAACTATATCAAAACCTACTTCTGTAGATATTTCCAAAAATATGCACATATATGGAAGGACTCTAAATGTAGTCACCAACAACTAAGGGAGAGAATTTCCTAGCTAGATATAATACACCAACAAATAAAGCCTCTTTGCCAAAAGTAGTTTGCACCTTGCTGAGTAGTTGTCCAAATGGGAACCATAGGAACTGCCAAACACCATAAGCTACTGTCAAGGTTATGGGTTACTTTCCATAACCTGATGGTAAGGCCCTACTGGAAAAAAACAAAACAAAACAAAACAAAAAAAAAACATACATCAGAAACCATGGGGAAGCTGAGCTAGTGCCTATCTAGATGTTCCACCCCCTACCGATAAGCGTTCATGGTAACAGAGAAATAAGACATGCTATCAGAGGGAAAGGTAATCATCGACATCACTTCACTACAAACCAACAGTTACCTACATACAAGATATACTGGTTCAATAGTGTCACAAATTTTATGAGATCAACCAGCCATATTTTGATTTAAGTATAATGATATACTCTATACCCACAGATCACTGCCTCATACACCTCATATCTGAGGAGACTTGTACTGCTTTGGATAGGAATTAATACATAGGCAGACAATGAGACAATGTACAGAGAGTTAGACTTTAGAACAGTCAATCCTAAATGGCATGTTTCCATCAAGCTCTTCCTCTCAAAGCTCATAGATCTATGAGGATGAGGAGGTAGAAAAATTCTAAGTGCCAGAAGAGATCAATGTTATGTACTATGTCAACTTGACATACAAACTAAAGTTAGTTAAAAAGAGGGGATCTCAATGGAGAAAATACTTCAATACAATCCTACTGTAAGACATTTTTTTTAAACTCGTGATTAATAGGTGAGGGCCCAACTCATGGTGGGAGGTGTCGACCCTGGCCTAATGGTTGTGGATTCTATAAGAAAGTAGGCTGAGGTAGCAATGGGAAGCATGTCAGTAAGCAGCACCTCTTCATGGCCTCTGAATCAAGTTCTGCCTCCAGGTTCCTGCCCTGACTTCCTTCAATGAAAAACAGCAATATTGAAGTTTAAGCCAAATAAACCCCTTTTCTCAACCATGTGTGCTTTGGTCATGGAGTTACATCACAGCAATAGAGATCCTAACTAAGTTAGATGACTCATAAAAAGTGGGGGGAGTATCTTCAAGACAACAGGCCTGCTGCCTGTATAACTCAGAGACACACAGAAGATGTGCACATATTCAAGCCACATAGAGTCCTAGCAATGACATCTCACTGTGTACATTAACCTCACTTCAGGGCATACCCCCATGGTAAGGGGTAGTTGAACAATATAAAATGAACTTGAAAATATTTTGTTGTGCGGTTTTTGTTTCACTTTGCTTTGTTTTGGCTTTTGTTGTTGTCCTAATGATCTTATTTACTTATTTGTCTTGATTTTCATTTTTGTGATTTTTTTTCCCTTTGTTTGACTTCTCAAACTTCTATTTTTATTCTGTGGTGTGTGTGTGTGTGTGTGTGTGTGTGTGTGTGTGTGTTTGAAAGCTATTGAGAGAAATAGCATAAAGATGGGTAAGTAACCTAGTAGGAAGCATCTAGAAGGAAGTGGAGGTTGAAAAATTATGATAAAAAAAGAAAAATTATGATCAACATTTATATTGTGCGATAAAAAAAAATTTATAAAAAAAATATTTATAAAAAAAGTCACCTGGTGGGCCATAATGCTGCATACCTTTAATCCCAGTAATCAGGAGTCAGACGCAGATAGATCTCTGTGCATTTGAGGACAGCCTGGTCTACATACTGAGTTGCAGGACAGCAAATGTTATACACAGAAACATGGTCTCAAAAACAAATAGACAAAATCAAAACAAAAGGTCTATGTGCCTTTGTCTTTTCTCTTGCTGTTTAATACGCTGTTTGTTCTGGACGTACATTTAATGTTTCAGTGTTTGACTGTTAAATGCCCTTGACATTCTTTTGCTCTTTTCTAGTCCTGTCTTTGTATGCTCTTGGTACTTTGGCATTTCTTTTGTTAAATTTGGGGAAATATTTTCTATTATGTTGATAGAAATATTTTCTGTTCTTTTGATCTGGATTTCTTTATACTTGTTATTAATAGTTTGTCTTTTCATGGTATCCCAGTTTTCCTGGGTGTTTTATATATGGTGGTTGTTTTTGTTTATGTTGGTTTATTTTGACATATTCTTGAACTGAAACTACCTGTTGTCTGTTGCTTCTACCTTTTGTTTTTTGTTTTTTTTTTTTTTTTCTTTTTGGACTTGAAATTTTCTGTTCCAATTCATTCAATATGTTGACGATATTGTCCTCTGATCTTTTTGCTTGAATTTTATTTCAAGTTTTTTTTTCACTTTGGTGTTTCTTATGCAGCCTTACTTCTTTCTAATTTTCATATCTTATTACAGTACAGTACTGTACTGTATTACAGTACAGGTGCTTATTTCTGGAACAGTCATATTGCATTCATTGTTCATGTTTGCAGGTTTGTCTGTTGTATCTAGGCACCTGAAGTTGACAGCTTTGTAGTATTCATTAGTGTGGATATTTGGTATTGCCTTTCTTAGTCAGTTTTGGGTTCTTTGATTGGTTTTCTCCAATCTAACAGATTATTGATCAACAGAATGATGCTTACTTTTCAATCTTGAGGATACTCTGAGTTTCAGGCTTCAGAATCTAGTTCTACATTTGAAGTTCTGATTGGAACTCTGAGTTCAGACTCCAAGAAGCCCCATATCATTGCATTGGGGTGGGGGGGTCAGTAGACTAGCAAACATGAGCGGGGTACTGTATCTGGAGCTCTCTTAAATGTTTTGTTGGCTAACCCTATGAAGATGCAGAACTAGGAGTGCCCTGGGTGTAGCCATAAACAGTGAGGAATGTCAAAATAAGTGGAGATGATCAGGGAGGAGGGACGGTGTGACTAAGGTAAGCAGTGGTGGTAATACTGGAGAGACCAGGATTGAATGGAAAAGGAAGGGTGAAGCAGCTTACCTTGGCCCACACCAGAGAAAAAATAAAACCTGTTGTCAGTGGGGAGTCACAAAGCAATGGAAATTGGCTGTAAGGATTGACTGAACAGGTCAGCAAAAGAATATCTAGAGCAACAGTGAGTCACTGACCCACATGGTGGCAAGTCGCAAGTGCTGATGTTGGCTGAGGAGATGAGAGCAGGTCTAGGAGTGTCCTATGGACATCACATGGAGAAGAAGAAGAAGTGTACCAGTGTCCTGCATAGGTTGGTACCAAGTGGGATCACTGTGAGGTCCCTGGAAGAGAGCAGTTTTGCAGTCATCCGGGAGCCACAAAGGAATAGGGATGGGCTGGCAGAAATGACTGTAGGAGGCAGCAGAAAAAGAAGTATGAGAATGCAAATTAGTTTGCATCAGGAGTGTTGGTTGAGTCCCAATAACAGGACAATCTGAGCCCCCTGCACCCTTTCTTTCTCTAAAATAACCTCACTCCCGTTCATTAATTCCCCAAGGTATGCATCTTTTTTTTTTTTTTTTTTTTTTTTTTTTTTTCAGGATGAGATAAAAATTGCCTCAGGATTTCAGCATGTTGGTCCTTGAATAAACCAGGTATCTTTCCTACTGACTCTCCTCAGGTCTAGTTGCATTGAAGCAGGAAGCATATGAACTTTAGCCTGGAACAGTACTACCCCTTCCCTTCCTTTACATTTTAAAGTGAGAGTTACTAATTAAACTAATGACATTTGTGTCTTCAAAAACTATTAACAGGCCTGGAGGTGCATCTCAGTGATAAATTGTTTGCTAACTATGGGTGAAGACCTTGTTTCAATCTCCAGCATCACCAAAAAATAATTATTAACTGTGGTCTGAAGAAGTCATAAAAACGTGAGGACAATTCATGAGCTAATTGCAAGCTCAAAATCAAACTCCTCGTGAAACAGATGATATAGCTTAGTCAGAGAGTATCCTACTTTTGGGAACCTTGCATGCATTGGGAGGAGCTTTGATGATAGTATCACGTATGAGATTTTAAAAACTTTTCTGGGGATTTGAAAGAAAATAGACTAGGAAAATATGGGACTCTTGAGGGCAGTAGGATTTTTCCATGGAAGCATGTTCTTATTTAGTGTCATGGTAGGGTCAGGAATCTTTTTGTCTCCTAAAGGGGTTTTAAAATATTCCTCACTGAATATCCCTGTTTCCTTGGGTATTTGGGGAATTGCTGCCCTTCTAAAAATGATGAATGCTGTCTGTCTTGCAGAGCTGGCAACCACTTTTCCTGTGAGTGCAGCACCTTACTATTTCCTGAAAAGATCTCTTGGATCTTCTTTTGCTTTCCTCAATCTTTGGATAAACATATTTGGATATTCCTTGGGAATAAGTGCTCAAAGCTTGCTGATAGCAGGTTGTCTACTCCAACCTTTCTATCTTGGGTGCCAAGCTCCAGAGCTACCAAAGAAATGTCTGGCTTTGGCTGTCTTGTGGTCACTTGGATTTCTCAATGCCCGAGGAGTGATTACAGTGTCTTGGTTTAACACTATCAGCAGTCTCATGAAGATGGTTGTTCTTTGTTTCATTTGTATCACTGGGGTTGTACTGTTAGTGATTGGGAAAAGAGAAAATATATCCAGGTTTGAGAATGCTTTGGATGCTGAATTACCTGATGCCTCACAAATTGCAGAAGCTATTCTCCAAGCATCTTTTGCATATTCGGGATCATCTCTCCTGCTCGTCTTAGCAGGTAAATCCATTCTTAAGAATATCTGGTAACATGCCAAGTGTTTGTTTAGGATTTTCATGAAATGGTAACAGTAATTTTTTCCTACGCTGTAATTAAATTTAATTTTCTCTATATTACATGCTCATCATTAAACTTCCATGGGGAGGGTAAATGGAATAAATTACATGTTCTTCAGGTTCTGTTAGATTTAGAATTTTAAGATTTCAAGTGTAAATTAATATTTTCTGTATTTTCTTATTTTGTTGTATTTGATTTCAGCATTTTGAGGTAGTTTTCAAGGAATGGATTAAAGAAGAAGTACTCAAATAGGTTCATTTTCAAAAAGATGAGCCCCTTTGCATTGAAAAATTTTTCTTGATGTTATTCATTATTCGCTAAAACTAGTTTTTATATTGAAACATGACAAATATCAAGAAAATTATGTCTTATGATTCATGCCTAATGACTTCATTACCTATTTCAGCCTCTGAATATTTTTTATTAAATTTTAGTACTTAATATCTCCACTGATCCATATTGCTACTTCTTATTTTTCCCAATTATATCTTATGCTCTTAGTTCTATTCAGCAAGAACTATATCATGAGCTTTTATGCCAGATGTCTGTGCTACCCTCTAAAACATTCCAGTATAAGAAGTTTGCTAAATAGTTCATTGTTTTCTATGTTTATTCTTTTCTACTCGTCACTTAAGTATGGAATTTTAAGTATTTTAAAATGTTGGGTTCCTATTGCTTATAATTGTTTCCTTTTTATGTTGAAGCATATCTATCCTATTATGTCAAACTAAGGAATAACAATTTTAGAGCCCTTCTTTTCTAATCAATTCTTCTGGGTTTTTTGTTTGTTTGTTTTGTGTTTTGTGGAGTCTATGGTAGATTTCTGTAATTCAATCAATTGTAATTTAATAAATATTTTTCCTGTTATGTGCCATCATGTGATTAATATAAACAGCACAGATACAGCAGTGAACAAGATAAAATCATCATAACTTTAGACATCAATGTGTGCCTGTAAATTTGTTGTTGTTGTTGTTGCAACAGGGTTTCGCCTTGTAGCCCTGGCTTTCCTGAACTCACTCAGTAGACAAGGCTGGCCTTGATCTCACATGTATTACTTGTCTCTGCCTTCTGAGTACTGGGATTAAAGTGTGTGCCACCACTGCCCACCAGTCTTTTTATTTATTTTTTCCCATTACTGAGATTGAAAATCCCTGGAAGGATGCCTGCATTCTGCTTGAATATTGTGGTTTCATATTTGTTACATTCTGCATGTTCACTTTGACTTGTATACCCTATTCAAGAAACTGGCCAGAATAGCTACAATTTTTGATTTTGGTTCAAGTTTTAATGCACTTGTCAATATTTGAACATTTCAAATGGATTCTCACTTTAAAAAGTAGACTTGCATACTTTGTAATATTTGACTTTCAGAAACTTGAAATAGGTCGAGCATATATGTAACTATTCACTCTCCTATTTTCTACTAACATTCCTAAAGACTTTATTTCTTCTGATTTCTAGAATTCTGCATTTAGGGGATAATATCTACTATCACAAATACTACTGTACAGAGAGAGAGAGAGAGAGAGAGAGAGAGAGAGAGAGAGAGAGAGAGATGACTAAAGATATAGACAGTTTTCATTTGTTGCCAAATGCTGACTGTTAAGGAATTTGTCTTTTTAATCCTTATACATTTTTCTTATAAATCCACAGTTCTTAATATAAAACTGTCCTTTGTTTTTATTTATTAGAAACATCTGTTAGGATTTTATGTAATCTGTTAATGAGAAGAAGTTACATATTTACTTATGGGAATCTATTAAGAATTTGGGCTAGAGCAATGACTCAGCTGTTGAGAGTACTGGCTGCTCTTCCAGGGAACAACCCATGCTTGTTGTTTAGCATCCACATGGTGGCTGACATCTGACTGTAACTCCAGCTTCAGAAAGTCGGGTACTCTCTTCCAACCTCCACACGGTGCATGGATATCCACACAGGCGAAACACTGCCTCCACAGACATTAGATACAGATGGTGCTCAGTTATACATACAAAATGAACCACAAAACTATTTTTATTTTAATATTACATATCAATCCCTCTTTCCCTCTTTCTCTCCCTCCCTCCCTCTCCCCCACCCTCCCATGCCCTCCAACCACCCTCCATTCCCATCCCCACACACTCCACAGGGAGGGTGATGACTTCCAGGAGGGGTCATCTAAATCTGTCAAGTCATTTGGAGTAGGGTCTAGGACATCCCTCCTGCCTCTAGGTTAAGGGAGTATCCCTCCATGGGGAATAAGCTTCCAAAGACTTTTTGTGCACCAGGGATACATCCTGGTTCCACTGTCTGAGGTCCCTTAGACAGTCCAGGACTTTTAACTGAGACCCATGTTCAGGGGGTCTGAGTCAGTCCCATGCTGGATTCCCAGCTGTAAGTTTGGGGGCCCATTGGCTCCTCCTTGTTCAGGTCAGGTGTCTCTATGTGTTTCTGCAGCCTGGTCTTGTCCTCCCTCTCTGCATCTGGATTCCTATTTGACTCAATGTTTAGTTTGGGTGTTTGCTTCTGTTTCCAACAGGTACAAGATGAGGGCTCCATGATGGTGGATAAGTCAGTTTTCCATCTTATTATCAGGGAAGAGCATTTATGGTAGCATTTCCACTGTGGGTTAAATTGTTAGTTGGGGTCAGTCTTATAGGTCTCTGGACTTTTCTCTAGGTTTTAGTTATGCTGTTAATTTTCTTATGTGATTATCCTCTGTTTTCTTCATATGGGCACTTCGTACATTGAACTTCCCTTGTAGCACTGCTTTCAAGATGTCCCATAAGTTTGGGTATGTTCTGTCCTTATTCTCGTTGAATTTTAGGAAGTCCTTAATTTCTTTCTTTATTTCTTCTTTGACCCAGATATGGTAGAATTGTGCATTGTCCAGTTCCCATGAGTTTGTAGGGTGTCTGTGATTTCTGTTGTTGTTGAATTCCAGCTTGAAAGCATAGTGGTGTGATATGATACAGGGGACTATTCCAATTATTTTATATCTGTTGAGGTTTGTTATACTGCCTAGTATATGGTCGATTTTAGAGAAGGTTCCATGTGGAGCAGAGAAGAAGGTATAATCTTTTGTGTTTGGATGGAATGTTCTGTAGATGTCTGGTAAACCCAATTGAGACATAACTTCTGTTAGTTCTTTTGTTTCTTTGTTAAGTTTCTAACTGGTAGCCCTGTGTAGTGTTGAGAGTGTGGTGTTGAAGTTTCCCACTATAATTGTGTGAGGTTTTATGTGAGCTTTGAGTTTTAGTAGCATTTCTTTTACAAATGTGTGTGCCCTTGTATTTGGGGCATAGATGAGACTTTGTGCAGATGGATTTCTCCTGTGATGAATACGAAATGACCATCTTCATCTCTTTTGATTGATTTAACAAGTCTAACTTGTTAGATATTAGGATAGCCACACCTGCTTGCTTCTTGGGTCCATTTGATTGGAAGATCTTTTCCCAGCCATTTACCCTGAGGTAATGTCTATCTTTGAAGCTTAGATGTGTTTCTTGTATACAGCAGAAGGATGGATTCTGTTTTCATATCCATGCTGTTAGCCTGTGTCTTTTTATAGGTGAGTTAAGACCATTAATGTTGACGGAAAGTAAGGACCATTGGTTGTTAATGCTTGTTTGTTTTAGATTTGTTGTTGGAGGTGGTATTGTGAATATATTTTCCCTGTGATGGGAGATGTCATTCTGTAAATATGTTTCTCATACTGATTAATGAATAAAGCACTGTTGGCCAATAGGAAAGCAAGATAGGTGGGACTAGAAGACAAGGAGGATTCGAGAAAGTAGTAAGACGGAGTCAGCATGTAGAGACTGGAGAGAATAGAGGTCTGGGCCCATGTGAAAATACTTAGATTAATAGAAATGGGTTAATAATTAAGCCAGAGCTAGCCAATAAGAAACTAGTACCTGGCCAACAGAATTATATCTAATACAGAGTCTCTGTGTGTTAATTGGGGCTGGCGGGGAAAAACCTTATTCCTAACAGCCCTGCTTTACCTTTGGATTCTGGTGAAGTGGGATAATCTATTGACTATGTCTTTGTGAGCATAGTTAACTTCCTTGGGTTGGAGTTTTTCTTCTAGAATTTTCTGTAGGGCTGGATTTGTAGATATGTATTGTGAAAATCTGGCTTTGTCATTAAATATCTTGTTTTCTCAGTCTATAGTGGTTGAAAGTTTTTCTGTATAGTAGCTTGGGCCGGCATTCGTGGACTCTTAGTAATTGTAAAACATCTCTCCAGGACCTTCTGGCATTGAAAGTTTCCATGGTGAAGTCAGGTGTAATTTTGATAGGTCTGCCTTTCTGTTACCTGGCTTTTTGCTTTGCTGCTCTTAATATTCTTTCTTTATTCTGTATGTTAGGTGTTTTGATTATTATGTGCCGAGGGGTTTTTTTCTTTGGTTCAATGTATTTGGTGTTCGGTATGCTTCTTGTACTTTCATGTGCTTGTCCTTCTTCAGATTGGGGAAGTTTTCATCAATGATTTTGTTGAATATGTTTTCTGCACCTTTGAGCTGGGCTTCCTCGCCATCCTCTATGCCTATTATTCTTAGGTTTGGCCTTTTCCACATTTCCTGGATATTTTGTGTTAAGGATTTGATGGAGTTACAATTTTCTTTGGTCGATGAATCTATTTCCTCTAGTTTATCTTCAGTACCTGAGATTCTCTCTTCCATCTCTTGTATTCTGTTGGTTATACTTGTGTCTGTAGTTCCCGATCATTTGCCCAGTTTTTCTATTTCAAGCATTCCTTCAGTTTGTGTTCTTTATTGTCTCTATTTCAGTTTTCAAGTCTCGAACCATTTCCTTGATCTGTTTAATTGTTTTTTCTTGGCTTTCCGTACTTTCTTTAAGAGTTCATTTCTTCCAATATTTGTTTGTTTTTTCTTCCATTTCTTTAAGAGATTTTTCTCACATTGGCTTTGAGGGCCTCTATCATTTTTATGAAGATATTTTTTAAGTCATTCTCTTCTGCTTCATCTGCTTAGGGGTGTTCAGGTCTAGTGTAGAGTCCCTAGATTCTGGTGATGTTATGCTTGTCTTTCTATTGTTGGGTGTTTTCTTGTATTGCCGTCTTCCCATCGCTTCTTCCAGTAGGTGCAGGTGGGGTCTCTCTCTCTCATACTCCTCCAGTGGGCTTAGGTGGGTCAGAAGTTCAATGTCTATAGCTCTGGATGGTCCAAGCTCTGTAGGAGGTCTCTCCTCAGGCAGGGGCCTGGCGATGGGGGTCAAAGATCCAGCAGGCAGGCACTCAGAACGGCAATCTCTGGATAGGGGGATCTCTTTGGGAGGGGCCTGGAACTCCAGCAGAGGATAGGCTGTGGGGGTCAGAGATCAGGCAGGCGGGGATTGGGTGGATAAGTTTTTATTTAAATTTGAAACAAGCTTGTTTTACATCTCAATCCCAGTTGTCTCACCCTCCTATCCTCCCATCGCCCCCCCACCAACCCCCACCCATCCTCTTATGCTCCCCAGGGAGGGTGAGGCCTTTCATGGGGATCTTCAAAGTCTGCCATATCATTTGGAGCAGGGCCTAGGCCCTCCCCAATGTGTCTAGGCTGAGAGAGTATCCCTCTATGTGGAATGGGCTCCCAAATCCATTGGTATGCTAGGTATAAATACTGATCCACTACCAGAGGCCCCAGAGACTGCCCAGTCCTCCTAACTGACACCCACGTTCAGGGCCTCTGTGTGAGTCCTATGCTGGTTCCCCAGCTATCAGACTGGAGTCATTGAGCTTCCCCTTTTCAGTCGAGCAGTTTATGTAGATTTCCCCAGCCTGGTCTTAACCCCTTTGCTCCTCCCTCTCTGCAACTGGATTCCAGGAGTTTGGCTCAGTGTTTATCTGTGGGTGTCTGCTTCTGTCAGCTACTAGATGAAGGCTCTAGGATGGCACATAAGATGGTCATCAATCTCTTTATTGGGGAAGGGCATTTAAGGAAACCTTTCCACTATTGTTAGTTGGGGTCAGAAGTGCCAGTCCTCTCTTTAAACCTACAAGGGCTCCCTCTATTATGGTATAATATGGTATTATGGTATCTCTTTTCTTGCTCTCCTCTATTCTTTCCCTGACCCAATCTTCCTGTCCCCACATGCCCACCTCTCTTTTCCTCTTCCCCCCTTCTCTTTTCTCTAACTCCCTCTCACACCCCCCCCATGCTCCTAAATTGCTCAGATCCTGTCCCTCTCCCAACCTCAGGGGGACCATGTATGTCTCTCTCAGGGGCCTCCTGGTTTCCTAGCTTTTCTGAAGGTGTGGATTGTATGCTGGTGATTCTTTGCTCTATGTCTAAAATCCATATATGAAGGAGTACATACCATGTTTTTCTTTTTGTGACTGGGTTACCTCACTCAGGATGGTTTCTTCTAGTTCCATCCATTTGCCTATTTCAAGATTCCCTTGCTCCACAATGAGTAGTACTCCATTGTGTAAATGTGCCACATTTTCCCCATCCATCCTTCAGTTGAGGGGCATTTAGGTTGCTTCCAGGTTCTTGTTATTACAAATAATGCTGCTATGAGCATAGTTGACAGATGTCCTTGTATGAATGTGCATCTTTTGGGTATGTGCCTAAGAGTGGAATTACTGGACCTTGAGGCAGACTGATTCCCATTTTCTTGAGAAACTGCCACACTGATTTCCAAAGTGGCTCTATGAGTTTGCACTCGTACCTGCAGTGGAGGAGTGTTCCCCTTTCTCCACATCCCCTCCAGCATGAACTGTCATTGATGTTTTTCATTTTAGCCATTCTGACAGGAGTAAGATGGTATCTCAAAGTGGTTTTAAATTGCATTTCCCTGCTGGTTAAGGATGTTGAATATTTTCTTCAGGATCTTTCAACCATTTTAGACTCTTCTATTGAGAATTCTCTATCTAGTTCTATAACCCACATTTTAATTAGATTATTCTGTGTTTTAGTGACAAGCTTCTTGAGTTCTTTGTATATTTTGGAAGTCAGCCCTCTGTCAGATGTGGGATTGTTAAATATCTTTTCCCATTCTGTTGGCTGGCATTTTGTCACAGAAGCTTTTCAATTCCAGGAGGTCCCATTTATTAATTGTTTATCTCAGTGTCTGTGTTAGAGCACTTTTATACTTTCATTTCTTATTACAATTATTCTTCCTCTGATTTTTTTCTGGGTACTCTTTTCATTGTAGTTTTCCTCCATGTAGCTCTGCAATGATTACAGCGTAAAACCTTCCCTAGAAGAAGTAGTCTGCTCCATTCTCTAGAAACGTACTTTCATTTGCGAGCATTCCCTCAGAAACAGATTATTTTCATAATTAAAGTGCACCATTATTCTAGCAATGATAGAGAATAAGATGTTGATCAATATGGTAGATAAAACTGTCAACTGAAAAAATCTAGAATCCTATAGAAGGCAAGCCTTTATGACAGATTTCTGAAGACTTATATAGATTAGGTTAATCACATGGGAAGAATCAACTTAAGTGTAGACAGCATCATCCAATAGGTCAGGTTCCTAGAATGAATGAAAAGAATAAAGGCGTCTAAGCACTGGCATTCATCCTAACAAGGACCAGAAGCGTTAGCCTTTTACTGTACTTTTGGCTTAAGTATAGTGAATTGTGTGTTCTTAGTCTGTAAATCTGCCCTCAGCTGCAGCCCCTTTTCTCTTCCCTGTCTAACGAAACAGAAAGTTAGAAGATAGCTGTTCTCAACTTACCTGTTTCACTTCTGTATCCATTCAAGTACAAAAAGGTGGGGTTTATTTTGGCTGAAAATTGAAAGATGCAGTTAGCTTATCATGGAGGCATATAGGTTTTATATATTTATCATAGTTACAAGAAAAATAATAAAATCAGCATCTACATGAAAGCTGACTAGGTTCTGTACAGGAAAGTAGATTCTTAGCCACATTGTGGTGTTAGTGGTGCACACCTTTAATGCCAGCACTTAGGAGGCAGAAACAGGCAGATCTCTGTGAGTTGGAGGCCAGCCTAGTCTACAGAATGAGTTTCAGGACAGGGAACATACACAGAGAAATACTGTCTCTAAAACATAGGTAAATAAAAAACAGAAATTTGATTCTGCCAATCCAGAAAGTTACATTATAACTTTCCAACCTACTCAATTTCATTACATTAAACCAGAGTACCTTCACATTCTGTGGTCACTGCTGGTTATACATCAATTATTTTAGTCTAAGGTCTGTCATATGAAGTCGAGGAACAGAAGGAAGAGTTCTGTATCACAATGCTCCATTGGATAGAGTTCCCTGCCACACTAGACATGCATTAACATTGCCTATAACAAAATCCATGTATCCTCGTGGATTTTGAATCTTACGGTTTATGCACTGGTCTTCTAACAAATTTAATTTCTCACGTGTCAATGAAAGTATTGCCATATGACTAAGTTCTTACATTGAAATGACAGAGGTGAATCTCAAGCACCACTCTACTTTGTTTAGACTTGGGGCTGACTTTAGCCAGGCTAGGTATTTGTCTCTGAGCCAGCACTATATCCCTTTCAGCAACAGGAAGCAAATACTCAGAGAAACCTACTGTAATGGAACTACTATTAAAGCAATTTTGTTCACTCTCCACTAGGAGGACCAAAAATTCTTCTGTTTCCCTGATAGGACTAGGGATAAATATCACAAACTTACATACTATTATATTAGTACAGAATGTTAGGAAATACCAACTTTAAGGGAAAACGCATGTAGGACAAAAGCAGAATCGAAGCAAGTAAATGAAGAGGCAATGGTATTAGACTATTTTTTTTAAAAAGACACATTCAAGTTGTACAATGTTTTGTCCTTTCGTTCAAGTTGTACAATGCTTTGTCTTTTCTACTAATGATTTTTTTTAGGAGAAGTAAAAAATCCTGCTAAGACAATTCCAAAATCTTTTATTTTTGGTATGTCTACCGTGGCTGTGTTATACATATTGACTAATGCATCCTACCTGGCAGTTTTGTCACCTCAAGAAATCATCTCTTCAGGTATGTGTAAGAATAATAACACACACAAACATGAAAACACACCTATAAACATGTTCCCACGTACATACATGTGCGCGCGCGCGCACACACACACACACAGCAACGCTTGTGCATATAGACACAAGCACGCACACACACACACACACACACACACCTATGTATGCATGTGTACCTATACAGATAAGCAACTCTCTCTCTCTCTCTCTCACACACACACACACACACACACACACACACACACGAAAGAATGTGATCTTCCTAGTTACAATAGACTTTGTGTTCTCCTCTGTAGAGAAAAATAAAGTTCTAAAGGATTTGACATTATCGGAACAGATTTTCTCCCCTATGACTGTCAACCATGCCAGCTGGATAGCATTACCTTCAATTACTGCTATCTGAAGCAGTAGTGTTTCTAATTCCATGCTCATTGAGTCCAAATGCTTTGAGAATTAAAAATCTGCCTTGTCCTAAAGAATATAAAATATAGTTTTAAATCTTGAAATGTAATGGAGTGAATTCATTCAAAATCTGATAGTAATGATTGCTTTGATGAATATGCTCTTTGAGTTTTAGACAATAAATGTCCAACAGAAAACTTAAGACTTAAATTTTGCAATACACAGGAGATACTATGCATTTGACCATTTGTGTTGGAAATGTGGAGTAGTCAAACCATTAGCTCATGAAAGGGTTATGCAAAAATACTAGCCTGGGCCATGCCTTTAATCCCAGCACGTTGAATTCTAGGCCAGCCTGGTCTACGAAGTGAGTTCCAGGTTAGGGTTCAAAGCTAGACACAGAAATCTCATCTGGAAAATCCAAAACAAAACACTAGACTTACATAAATTAACTTTATTGTTACTTTATTTTAATTACACTTTATAAAGAATATTTAGGAACATGGTTTGTGTCTATTTTACAGCATATTGGAATTTCCTTATAGTCTTTATGCCAGGCATACCATTTAACAATATATTTAGCACTACTGAGGAATCTTTCCATCTTTAATTTATGTCATAAATACTTTAATGACTATTTCACTTACCTATTGGTTCTTGACAGACTTCCAGGTATTTCTAGTCATAAGTCAACTATTAATTCAGTTCACATGCTTTGAGATTGGCCATATAGCATAGGTACAGGTGAGACTTCTGTTCCCTAAGGAATTAGTCACATGGCTATACCCTGCTGCACTTTAGAAGACTACTATCATCAGACTGCCGTGCACCTTGGAGTCTCCCCTAAGTTTTACTCCAGTTCTTTATAGCAGCAAATCCCAGACTAGCATCATATGTATGATGACTGTAATCAGGTAAATATTTGTATTGGAATAAAAGAAGGAGGCTAGATGATAATGTGAGAGCTATGGACCATGATACACATTAGAACACAAGCAAAGGGGAAGAGAAATAGGATGAGAATGAGGAATGAATGAAAAAAAATATGCAAGGGAGCCCTTTAACTAGAAAAAAAGACAGCTGAGTGATTAATGAAATTTCGAGTGCTTGTCACACAAGGTCATTGGATGAGGGAACATGGTTTTGGTGTAAATGCCATAAGTTATTTCACTGTGGAGTTTCTGAGCCCTAGGAACCTTATGATTCCAAGAAAATTCTCTGCGTTGTCATGGTTCTAGAATTAGTATGGTGCAATTCTCTTACTAACTAGCTGAAAATGCTTAGAGGATTCATACATATGGTAGGCAATGTAGCAACCAAGAAAAGCACGAACCGTGAGTAGATTCATATCTGGAGAACAGTCACTTTAGATGCATTTGTCTGGTCAAAACAAACTCCAAGGACCAAGAAGAGTTATTAAGTGAGGAAAGAGACTCTAGCTCAAGGAAGTACCATCTAACTCATACTTTTACAAAAGAAATGTAATTGTTGTGAAACTGAATTTGGTATTTTGACTTTATGTTTAATTTTCAGATTCTGTTGCTGGCACATGGATGAACAAAGTCTTTCCTTCCATGCAATGGGTCATTACTTTACTGATCTCAGTTTCATTGATAAACAATACTGCTTGTGGAATACTTTCAGCATCAAGGATTTTCTACACTGCCAGCCAAGAAGGACAGCTGCCTTTCATCTTCTCTATGCTTAACAATCACCACTGTCCAGTTGCAGCTATCTCCAAGATAATAATTTTTTCTTCTATTGCAGTAATTCCTTCAAGCTTAGTGAATTTAATAAAATATTTGATGTTGTCATCCTTTGTTTTAACTGAGCTATATATGATAGCTTTACTTAAACTGAGGTATCAGGAGCCCCATCTACATAGGCCTTACAAGGTAAATCAAAACACTAGTTTTAAATTTCTCCTTGCTTTATATGAATAATATTGCTTTAGCTGTGTAGGTATTTCTAGCCATTTACAAAACCAACCTTCAGAATATCTACAACAGGCCTTCAGTTCATAGATATGGACAGTTCTGCTTCTTTTTTATTGTGTATAAGCAAAACACTATTTCTTTATATGAAGACAAATGTCATTTTGCATCTTTCCTGAACTACACCATAATTAGATGGTAGTAATAAAACTATTGGTGATGTTCAACATTATTTCCTTAGCTAAAAGCCCTATGTAATTTATATATATATACATAATTTTTCATATTTAGCATACTAATTGCTATGAGACATTAATCAATTTCATGATTTTAAATGTGTTCAATTTACTTAACATGATAGAATCACTGCTATTAGCTCATAACATTATTGCATGAAATATTTTTAAAAATAATATGGGGGATTTGAAGTAGGAGCCAGGAAAAGTACTTTAGTACTGAACCATGTGAAAAGAATCCAAGAAATATTCTCCAAAAAGCCCTATCCAAAAAGCACTCCCAAGACAAGGAAGGCCCTAGTGAACAGAACAGGGATAGAACTTACATTGTCACTTAGATGAGTACACAACTGTGAGGTAAACCATGCAAACAATCAAATGTCACCAACTTAAGCTCTTACTTTACAGTATTCTGCTGATAACAGAGTATATCATACATATGGAGGAGGAATGAAGTTACGTAGCCCAAAGAGCTGGCATTTGTTCTGTAATAACCCTTCACACAAAATAATTATAGGTCTGACACTAAGCATACTAGCAAAAGCATATTTTTAAAATAGCACTAAGCATATTTTTAAAATGTGATAAAATGTTTTATAAAGAACACATTATGGAAGGTGTTTATTCCCTTTTTTCTAACCTTGACATAAAAATAATTGAGCTTCTAAAAGTATTGCTGATTGCTTTCAGAATCCTCATACATTGGTGGCATATATTTTTGTGACCAAATACATTCCTTATCTGTATTTCTTTATTCCTTCATCTCTCTTTCTTATTTTCTTATCCTTGTATAATATAAGCATGCCCTGCTATAATATGAATCCAATGAGCTCTGATAGACATTATGACTTAATCATGTTATAAGCATAGTCAAGTTCTATCATTTTGGATAACCCTTCATTTGAAGATGAAGTTAACTAATAATCCTATGTTTCTCGTTAGTCACTATAATATACACTTAAATTTTCTTCTTGGAATTTAAATTCCCAGACTGGTCATGGGGATACAGATTCATTTGTTCTCCACTGGATTATATAAATCTTAATTGTTATAATGAGATTCTTTTATAGATTTGTACACTGCATATACTTTAAGAAATACTAACTTGGTCTATTTTCCACATTCTGCTCTTCCTAAAATAGCTTCCTTTTTAACCAGTCCCCATGTTGAAAATGTTGAATGGTGATATCTTTTATTTTAGTCAGGCATTTATTAAAAATAATACAGAGTGAGTGCCCTCTTTGCTTCAGACATTAAATACCTGTGTGGTTCATAAATATGAGAAGAAACCTTATATCACAATCTTAATAACCTCATAGTAGATTGAAAAATAAAATACAAAAATATTGTGGAGCACATTGTCCTGAAGTATAATATATTTGATTGTCATAATGATTTTAGAGGTTAATACTATGAATGACAAATGCACTAAATGTTCCAAGACATAAACCTGAATGTTGATTGTTAACTTCTTTGAAAAGGCCCTTCTTTAAATGTCCTAAATATGTAGCATAGTAAGTTGAATATCAGTGTTATTCTGTGAACAATTCTGTAAGGGATAAATGACTAAACTTAATGTGTTCCAAACCAGTTATCTGTGACTCTTACATTTTTTCATATTTTTTTATTTAATGATATTGCTTCAGGATAAATTAGCCCACACAATTTTAGAGATAGATTTTGAGTAAATATTCAGTTACAACAGTTAATCCCTATTTCCCCAAATCCAAAGTCTCAATAGCTAATATTAAAATAATCTGGCTAAGTCTGCTCATGAGGACTGTATCTTCTTAGGTATGCTGTACAGCTATGACTGTAAAAAAGAGTACTCACTGATTTTAGTGAACGAATGTCCTAGTTTTGTGGAAAAGGAGAAATTGATACAATCTATAGGACAAGTGGAGTTGTCTACAACTATTTACAATCGCTGTGTCTGAAAGCAAATATCTATATGCTGTAAAGCCAAGGATGTGACTCTAAACACATTTCAGGACACAAATGTGGCCATCTCTTTGTACTTCTAGAACAATTCATGAGTGATTTTCAGTCATATGAAATTTGAAAGTAAACCCATCACTAATTTTAATTTTCTCTTTTTCTTTTTCTTTTCTTGTTTTCTTTCTTTCTTTCTTTTTTTTCTTTTAGGTGTGGTCACCATTGATATTTGGGTCGATGTCAACTTCTTTGTTTTTAATTGTCTTACCAATGATCAAGACTCCCACAATGGAGCTTATTTACCAGGCCATATTTTTTTTAAGTGGATTTCTGTGTTACTGGCTTCATACTTATCTTAATCAACGTTATGGGTTTTTTGATAAAATCACTTGTTATTTGCAATTGCTATTTAATGTTTCCCCAACTGAAAAGAGTGATAGCATTTTTATGCAGTAGGGGAAAAGTACAATAAAAAAGGTAAAACAATATGAAAGTTTTGTGAATTAAGTGTGTTTTATATAATCATTTATTACACAAACATCCATCTCCCACCCACCTAAAAATTGTGTGACATGAAATTACTCTCTGAGCGACATAGATTTTTGTGAGTAGCAGGAAGGAAGGAGTTTAAAGGTTCCAAGCACTAAATTAAATGATATGAAAATGGTAATTTCTATGAGTTAACATCCATTGGAGTTTCACAATGTACTCCATAAGTAATAATTATTATTACTTATAAAACAAAAATTGTAATGTTTAATATATTTGAATGTTAAATATTAATTTGATCATAGCACACAGTATAGTATCACATTTACCCTGTTCTTTTATATTATTTTTATTTACTCTTTGTAAATTTCACATCATTTACCTTGACCACTCTCTTCCCAGTCCTTTAATTTCTGTTCTCCACTCTCATGCTTCTCTCTCTCTCTCTCTCTCTCTCTCTCTCTCTCTCTCTCACACACACACACACACACACACACGCAATGAAAAAAATAAAATTTAAAAGTAACAAATTCAATTTATGTTATCTATATACTCAATGGAATGTGATGAAACTATCAGTGGCCTGAGCCATAAATAGAATTTTGTCCTTCCCCTCCCACACCCCTACCAGAAGCTATCAATTGTGAAGAGTCATACCTCAGCATCTTTATCACACTTTTTAAGAGTTCTCTCCAATGGCTTTATGTTTAGGTTGTTATTTAGAGGGGGTGCAGTTGTTATGAAAGTAGGGGTTGTCACAGAAGCCTTTCATTTCCTTCTTTCCCAACTGTGCACCTGCAGTTATTGGTATCGATGCAAAAGTATCTGGCTTGCTATTTATAGTCAGCAGGGCACAGTTCACAGATTTCCACATGGCTTCTGTTCACAGAACAAACCGTGAACATGGCCTCCTGCCGCAGTCAGACCACAGACACAGACAAGGCCCTCAAAGGCAACACAGACCACTGACACCTTCATGGCCTTCAGTAGAAACATGGAGCACAGACATCAACATCACAGAAACAAGCCACAGTAGAACCATGGACCTAGACATGGCCCAAGGTTCAAGCATCGACCCAGACTACACCATGGTATCAGGTGGCAGTGTAGGCCACTCACATCACTATGACTCCCAGCAGCAAAATGAGCCAAAGACATCAACAAGATTGTTATGGCCCTCAGTGGCAACATGGACCCAGGTAGCTACACTGACCTCCAGCAGCAACATGCTTCACAGGCTTCAACATGGTTTCAGGATATAACATAGACCACATACACAATAGGAATAAACCATCAGCAGTGATTAATATCTCTCAATATTGGTAGTGATGCCGCAGGTGCTCCTGCTGCTGATGCAGTCAAAAAGGGTGACCCTGAGGTTAAAAAGCCCAAGAAGGGGGAGCCGCATTGCAGCCTAACCCTGTCCTGGTTAGAAGGACTGGCAGGTACTCCCCATCTGCCGTGTATTCCAGAAAGGCCCCGTACAAAAGAAAATGCTCAGGGCCAAAAACTAAGGTTGAAAAGAAGAAGAAAAAAGGAGACGGTCCTTGCTACTGTCTGTCACCAAACTAGTTGGTGGTGACAAGATGGTGGTACCCGGATGGTTAAGCTTAGAAAAATGCCCCGGTATTACCCTACTGAAGATGTTCCTCGGAAGCTGCTGGGCCATGGCAAAAAGCCCTTCAGTCAGCATGTAAGACAGCTTCATGCCAGCATCACTCCGGGGACTGTGCTAAGCATCCTCACCAGGCCCCACAGAGGGTAGTTTTCCTGAAGCAGCTGGGCAGCGGCTTGCTACTTGTGATGGGACCTTTTGCCCTCAACATAGTTCCTCTGTGAATAACACACCAGGAATTTGTCATAGCCACCTCTACAAAAGTTGGGATCAGCCAAGTTAAGATCCCCAAACACCTGAATGATGCTTACTTCAAGAAGAAGCAGGTGAGCAAGCCGAGGCACCAGGAGGGCTGGGAGATCTTCGACACAGAGAAGGAGAAATACGAGATTACAGAGCCTGGCAAGACTGATGAGAAAACCATGGACTCGTAGCTTTTGCCAAAGATCAAAGCTGTTCCTTAGTTTCAGGGCTACCTGCCGCCTCAGTTCTCTCCGACAAATGGGATGTGTCCCCACAAACTGGTTTTCTAAATTGCTATCATCCTAATTAAACAGCTTCATATGTTTAAAAAAGAAAATACCTACAGTCAGATGGGTGGATTTACCAACAAGCGTGAGGGCAAGCAACCATAATGTGAAACTTTTATTCTATGATTCCTTATGTAGGTTGCGACCAGAAGGTGTGTCTCAGATTTAGGATGGGTATTTTGATTTCAAACAATCAAGGTTTAGGATGAAACCTCTCACCTCAAATGATTCAGTCAAGAAAATCCTTGTTAAGTGGGCTGAGCTTATTTGATTTTATTTAATTCCAGATGTAATCAAGTAGATGACCAAGATTAGCTGTCAATTGATTAGACTTTAACCTATAATTTTAGAGGACAACAACAGTTTAAATCATCATTTAATGAAATTAATTTGTGAAATTTCAAATATGCATCATCAATCAGTCTGACAGCCAATATGTCAATAAATCAATCATTTCTATTCCATGTATTTCACTAGAAGAGCTTAAAGAATGTAGTCATTTTTTCTATTTCCATTTTTTCTTTTACGAGTATGAAGCTTCTTCATAGATTTTATTTTTACTTAATTATTTAACTAGGCATGTTCACTAAAGCAGGATCCTCAGTGTAATGCAATGAAGCTAGCTGGGGGGGGCGGGGTATTATGTCCCTGAGAATGATACCCTAGCAAAAGATTTGATAGTTGCACTGAATTAATGTTATCTTTCATGACAAGAAGTCATTTGTGAAATGGGGCTACTTTGTTGACTTCTCTCTTTTGCACATTACCGTTTTTACTGTTCTTTCTTTTTTATGTCTGGTTGGAAGCAAAATGATGGGAATAGCTCTTCTTGACATACCTGGGAAGAGGGAGCCTTGAAAAAAAGTACTGCCTTTATCACATTGACATGTTGGCATTTCTGCGACTTATTTTTCCAACTGTTAATTGATGTAGGAGTACCCAACCTACTGTAGGCAATAACCACCCACAGATAAGTGGGTCTGGGCTATATGAGAAAGGTAGCTGACCGTGACCTAAAGCAAGCCAGTAAACAGCATCCCTCCATGTTCTCTGCTTTAGTTGCTACCTCCAGGTTCCTGCTTTGAGTTGCTTCCTTGGATTGCATTGCCATTAAATGTGAAAGACAAGTCCTTTCTTCCCTCAAATTTGTTTTGCTCATGTTTTATATAAGCAACAGAGAAGAAAAATAGAACAGTGACTCTCTCTTCAGGCTGAACACATGGTTCCACTGACACTTGATCATCTATCCGCTAAACTTGACAGAAAATAAAGCTCTTTAAAAGTCACAGATTCCCTATCCTGGCAGACTGGCCTTCCCAGAGTCTGCCAGAATCCTGGTTCTGCCTCTGCCTTTGGTAGAAGATAGGCTTGGGCATTTTTCCAGCCTGCTCAGAGCCTCCTGGAGACTAGGAATTGTGTCCCAGGGGCCCGACCTGTCTACATTCTGCCAGTGCCCTGGACCCACTTCCTCCTACGATAAGAGTCATCTAAGTATTGGACCTGCTTGCACCCACCAGAAGAGAATCTTGGTCCTGTATTCACCCAGAGAGAGAGGGAGACCCCACTGGTATACACTGGAAGAAATAATGGGTAGATGAACAGTATAAGAACACAGCCAACAAAAGAAAGATCGATATGATACCCCCAGAGTCTAGAGACAACATACCAGCAAGACTTGGACATCCCAACAGAGATGAAGCAGAAGAGAATGACCCTAAAAACAACTCCATGAAGATGATAGAGATCCTACAATAGGAAATGAAAAAAACAATTAAAGAAATGAAAGAAATAAACAAACAAAAATGTAAGAAATGAATAAATCTCTTAAAGAAAGCAAGGAAAACCAAGAAAAAAACAATCAAACAGATGCAGGATACAATTCAAACAGGCTATGACCTGAAAACTGAAATAGAGACAAAAAAGAAAATGCAAACTGAGGGGATGCTGGAAATAGAAAAGCATTTTCTCATGAAGGCAAATGAACTTACACTCATGGATTTTACCCAGAAGAAATATCAATTTAAGATTAACAACATACTTTAAGATGAAGACCCGAAAGTTTGAAAGTATAAAAGGAAAATACAGAAAAATTCTTCAAGTTAAACTTTAGCAAGGATTCTCTGACATGGATAATAGTAGCAAAAAAAAAATAACTCCATAAATTTACATATGGTAAGACTAAATTTCATAACTTCTGCAGAGCAAAGAAAATGACCACTGTAAAGAGACAGCCAATGGAATGGGAAAAAAATCAGCTATCAACTGATATCAAATAGGTGATTCATATTGAAGATTAACTACAAAAATAAAGCACACTTTTGTATCACTCAGTTCATAAATAATATAAGTATTAGAACAGACAACTCTCAAAAAGAACTGCAAATGACAAATAATTATGTGTAAAGATCTTCAGCATCCTCATCTATCAGAGAAATAAAAATGAAAGCCACTTAAAGGAAAAGATGGCACGTACTCACTCGTAAGTGGATATCAGACATAGAGAAAAGGATCACCAATCTACAATCCACAACCCCAGAGAAGCTAAGAAACAAGAAGAATCCTAAGAGAGACGTACATGCACCCCACCCCTGGAAAAGGGGAAAGGGACAAGACCCCCTGAGCAAATTGGGAGCATGGCGGGAAGGGAAAAGAGGTGGGAGAAAGAGGAGAGGGGAGAGAACATGAGGGATCAGGAAGGTTGAGCTGGGGGAAGACTAGAGAAGGAGAGCAAGAAGATACCTTTTTTGGAAAGAGATAACTTGATCAAGGGAGCTATTATGGGTTAACAAGAAATCTGGCACTAGGGAAATCTCCAGATCCAC